AGGTTATTTGGGATTTGCGCTCGATTGTTTGATGTTTCTGTTTCATTCCCAGTAGAGCCGGTTGCTGTTTTGCCACTGAAAATATTCCCAACAGAAAATGCAGCTTTGTGAAGGCCCAAACTTGTTCAAGGAGAAGTGACTGTCTGGAAGAAAATGATCACATTTTCATCACTTCTTTTTTTTTTTTTGTTGTTCTGAATTGACATCCTGGCTCTACATGCTCTGAATTCTGCATTCAGAGAATTGAATTCTATTAAAAAGTGTGGAAAAAGGGTTCCAAGCTGAACTGTTTGTGGATTTGAAACATCACCTCGTTACATTTTCTCCTTGCAGATCAGCATTACAGGCAAATATTGAAAAATGGCCTTTCCCAGGCCATAACCTCTTTATTTCCTGATCAGACCCTGCTAAAGAGCGGGAAAGCTGGGAAACGCAGATGTCTCAAGCTGCCAACCATCATTCTGGTAATGGAAATGCTTACTCTGCTCTGCAGGGGAGGACTGGGAAGACTTGACAAGAAAGAGGATTGGAATAAAATTAAAAAATGAAATAAAAAGAGGAAAATAGTTGTGACTGAACGTGGTTTTGCACTTGACACCCCAGTGACCCTCCTTTTCTCCCATCCCTGACTTGTGCCATTGTCAGAGAGAGGAGCTCTCGCTTCAAATTAACTTAATCTGTAGAGTTAAATAATTCATGTTGATTTAAGAAAGCTTTATTCCTAATGGGACACATGTGAAGGCAGAGTTAATATTAGAAGAGGCCATGGAGGGGGACGAGGGAGGGAATTAAGACTATAAAAGGTGAAGGTACAAGTTAATTGCCTATCAATTATTCACCTTAAGCCTCTGGAAGTAACAACCCTGCCTCCCTCCTCCCACCCTCATATCCCGTTTTCCTGGTTGCCACCAAGTTCCCACTGGCACCTCTGGGACCAACCTTTTCCCTGTGACAAGCAGGAGCTTCCCTGGACAGTCTGTGAGCACGGCAGGGCTGGAGGTGTCACATCTCCTGCTGGGAGCACAGACCAGGACAGGCTTGGGATGCTCCTGCCAAGGCACCAGCGAAGGAGAGGAGCCATCCAGGTTCCAAGAGTTCATCATCCATCTGCTCCACTTGCCCTGGCCTCCTCCATCCTCCCAGCACCGCGGCTCCTGCTGATCCCGCTCCCCGGGGGTCACATCGGCACCGTGAGCCCGTGGTCCCCTCTACCCTCCCCTCTGCTCCCTCCAGGGGAACCCAATGCTCTCTTCAAAGTTGCTCCTCGCTCGGCTGCCTCCGAGATCTGGGAACTCAACGCTAATTAACGGGGCTGCAAATCCCAGCTCGGCTGGAGGGGCCTCAAATTCCTTCACGGTCCCCCGAGTGCAGAGGGATCCACGAGCGAGCCCTGTGGCTCCTCAAACTACACGGCTGGCAGATGCATATTTTAACAACACACATCTGTTGGCAATATAATCCCTTGTATTTGCCCTCCCTGCTCGGAGCTTTGATGGAAGACCGGAGGGAACTCTCCAGTGGTTACAGCCAAAGTGTTTGCTTTGCAATTTCGCTCGATTGCAGCCTGATTTTATTTTTAAATTTCTCCGAGTCCTAATCAGGCTCTTACTTTATTTAATTAATACCCCGGCTTAGTTAAATAGATCATAAATTAAGCAACCCTGCCATAAAAGATGTACCAGGTAGCAAATAGCCCTCCTGTGGCTTCCCAAAGCCTGCCTGGCTTAGACTCCCCTGTCAAACTGCCTTGACATCCTTTGCTTGCAGAAAACATGGATGCTGCCATGTCTCCCAAATCCCACCCCATCAGCTTTGTCAGCCTTCCCTGCTGGGGCAAAGACACCAAGAAGATTGGGCAGTGACTCCTCCCACAGACAGTTTGGATAATGGTAGCAGGGAAGGTGAGGGAGACCTGGAGAAGGGATGGGTTGTAGCCACCTTCCCAAGCAATATTTGTCGCTGTGACTCCACAAAGAAAAGATTTTCCCTGATGCTGATGACACTAACAGGCTCGTCTGTTTGAATGTTTGGACTTCCAAGGCTATGGAATGATCTGTTCCACTACATTTAACCATGTAGATTTGAAAACAATGTGACAAAACCTTAAATATTTAATTAAAATATGGTGTAGCTCTGCATCTGAGCAGGGAATTAGGAGACATCAGCCCCATAAAGCTGTTGTCAGACATGAATGACAGCAGTTGGAGCTTGGATTGGGAGGCATTAGGGGATTTCTTGATACCAAGGAAGTGGAAAAGCTGGGAAGAACAGCCAAGGCAGCACCAACCCATGCAAAAAAACCCAGGTAAGGTATTTTCCAGAGATGAGGCTGGGGGTGATAGAGAGGATGGGGGTCCCAAGAACTGCCTCCAACACCCAACTGGCTGATGAGCCCCTCAAGTCGTTGGCAAACCAGCAGCAGACATCGGGCTCCCAGTCACCAGCCCCTCCCAGCTCTGCCCTATCTGTGACAAATCCTTTCCTTGAGAGCTGTCCCAGATCCAGGGATGCCCAGGTGATGTCTGCAGTCTCAGGTGAAACTGGGGACACTGGAATGAGGGAACACCCCACAAGCATCTTCAAGTGAGGCAGCTCAGGCAGATTTGTCCCATCCCTTCCCAACCTGGTGAGAGGAAGCCTGGAAGATCCAACCCCTCTGGAGCAGCTGCTTGGCTCACAACTAAATGGACTCCTGCACCAGATCTTGAGAGGAGAAATGCCTGCACAGCTGCTGGCCCCTCACATCTGGAACACTGAAAATGCCCCTCCCTTCCTCTGTACAAACCCAGCACGCAGCGAGCTCACCCTGACAGGCTGCACATTTCACCGGCTGCCAGAGCCAGCACTGGCTCCAAAATCATGGGGTGTTGAGGCACCTGCCCCTCATGTGCCATTTCTATCCCCTCCATTGAGGTGGCTAAAACACAGAGCACAGACCCCTCCTACCTTCCCGTGGCAGCCCCACCCTCGCTGCCAGCGCTGCAGGACACACCATCCCACCCCAAAGGTGGCACAGTGGGAGCTGCTGCTCACCAACCACCCCCCAACCCTTCTCAGAGCATGGGATGGTCCCTCCTACCTCCCCAGTCCCCCTGATTTTGCAGAATCACAGAACTGCCCAAGCTGGAAGGGATCCACAAGGACCATCCAGGCCAACTCCTGGCCCTGCACAGGACACCCCAACAATCCCACCCCGTGCCTGAGAATGTTGCTCGAACAGTCCTTGAACTCTGGCAGCCTTGGGGTCGTGACCACTTTTTTTTCCCCCCAGAACATCTGCATAAACACATTAAAGTGAAAGATGAGCTACCAGTGGGTTCCAAATCCCCATTTCCTCACCAGTTTGGCCTAAGTTGAACATGCTGTAACTTTAATTTTCTTAAAAGGAAAACACTCTGCAAATATAAGCTGCTGAACATCTTAGGTAAATGTACCAATTAGCAACTACCATGTATATCCACATAAACATTAACTACCATCTATTCAACACATTCCATAACCCCAAAGATAATAACGATTTCCTTTTGATCCATAAAAACATCTCTCTGCTCAATCAACGCTTCGCGGCGGCTCTGACGTACGCCCTGGGACTAAATTAGTTTTGAAATCTTTAGTTCTAATTAAATAACATTATTTCTTTTGTCTGGGCTCCGGCAACGTCTTCTGCTTTCACAACAGAAGGAGGGGCTGTGGGAGAGCGAGGGAATGTTCCGCTCTCTGCCTCATTCCCAGGATTCTTTCGTGTGCAGGCACACGGCAGAGCTCGGAGCTGCTGCCAGGGGTTGATTGAGCCAGAAGGATGGATCAAAGGAAAATCATCCTTATCGTGGGGGTCAGGGAAGGAAGGGATGGCAGCTGTGTAAGTTTGGGGGTAGGGAAGGTTGGGGAGTTGTGGAGAGAGAATAACAAACACAGCGGAAATCGCAAACCCAATGTTAGGACTTGCTGTCGTGGGGAGGTGCAGGCTCTGGTGAGGTGAACCTTCAACCACAACCACTGCCTTAATTCACTTTTTTTGGCTTCTTAAAACTAATTTAAGTGCTGATCTGACTTAAAAGCACTGAAAATCTTGGTTTAGATCTTTCTAAAAGCTTTTACTTTTTCTCTTGGAAATCAACCAAGGGGAAAAAAAAAACCACTCAACAACAAAAAAACCCAAATCCAAACTTGAATTTAAACAAACTTCAATATGCAAATGGTTTCAACTTTGGGGGTTGAATAATGAGGATGGATCTGGGAGTAGCAGTACAGGCTGGGTTTTGTCCAAGCTTTTCAAGAAAAATACCATTTTCATTAACTTCTCAGAAGCCTCGTGCATTCCGGGAAGCCTCACTGACGCAGCCTTTTCCCAGCACTCCTGGGAGGAGAGTCCCCTCCTGTTCCAGCTGCCAACAGGGCCCTCCAGATTTGCCACAGCTCCTCTCCCATCTCCCACCCATAAAGAGTCTTTACCAGATTTTGGGAACCACTTCTAGTTTGCAATCCCATGCAACAAACACCCTGCTGTGCTGCTCGTGGGAAGGATTAATTACTGAGAAATGCAGAATGATCAAATATTGATATGAAGATAGTATGAAGATACTGCAGGAGCGTGGAACCAGCCTTTCCTCAAGTGGTGGATTCATCCTGGTCCTGCTGCAGAGCAGTGCTGCAGGAGGGGCATCATTATGATGACACTGACACTCTACATACCCTTAAATTTATGGACATACACTCTCCAGTTGGCGTGTAAATTCACAGAGCTGAAGTGCCAAACACTTGGTGCCTCTGTTACTCATCCCAGAATTGCTGTGCTCCATCCCTGAAGTGCTCGACTCCCTAAACAGCTTCCTTTGCTCCCGCTCTCGGGATGGAGCTGCACCCCCACTGCTCTCACTGTGGATCAATTTCCACAAATTCATTTCCATTTCCTCTTGGTTGAACAACAGCACGTTCTGTCCCAAAGCCGCTCAGTGCGACCCCAGGGACAAAAATCCCCCGGGTGTGATGGGGACACTCACCCAGGACGGTCAGCCGGGCAGGTCTGGATCGGATGGCAGCCTGGATGGCCTGGCACTCGTACACGGCGTCATCCTGGAGATCAGCCCTCAGGATTTTCAAGTGGTGCTGTCCTGACAGATGGTCTCCTACGACCAGGTAGCGCGGATAACCTGCCGGGCACAGCGCATGAGTCAGGAGCTGGAGCGACGAGCCCAGAGCCCCAGCACCCCACAGACATTCCCAGGAGCCAGGCAGCTTCCTCCCCTCCTTGGCAGCCAGCCCCAAGAGAGAGAGAGAAAGAACTTTTCCAAATTTGGGAAGGAGACCGCACATTTCGCCCTACGAGTTCAAAAAAGAAGTGCTGGTGAAGGAGCGTTAACTGAAATCCCCAGGAAACATGGAATCTTTCACAGAATGTTAAGGGTTGGAAGAGACCTTAAAGATCATCTAGTCCCAACCCTCCTATGGGCAGGGACACCTCCCACTAGACCAGGTTACTCAAGGATTTATCCAACCTGGCCTTGAACACTGCTGGGATTGGAGCATCCACAACCTCCCTGGGCAAGGAAAAATAGAAGAGCCCTTCCACTGGGAAACCCACCACCTCTGGCTCCTCTGTGACCTGCCACGGGATCTCCTCAGCTCCTGAGGTCAGCTGTGGTGAAACCCTGGAAAAATTCCATGATTGGGTCTGCTCAAAGCTGGCACTGGGGGCACCCACAGCCCTGCTCAGCCTGGCTGGGCACACGAGAAGCACCAGGGCAGGAAGGCTGCCCTGAGCCTGGCACACCCCGTGTGACACAGCCAGCCTGGCACACCCTGTGTGACACAGCCAGCCTGGCACACCCCATGTGACACAGCCAGCCTGGCACACCCCGTGTGACACAGACAGCCTGGCACATGCTCGGGGTCTTGTTGTTTCTCGAGTTATCAACAGCAGGATTTGCTCTCCTGAACCGTGAGAAATACAAGTGATGGGTTTGTTTGTATTTTGCTAATTAGACACTGGCTGAGCTGGCATCACACGAGCTGGCAGCTCCTCTGGCTTCCAGCAGCCCCAGCTCTGTTAATTGTGGAAGTCATTCCCATCAGCTCTGTACTCCACTGGAGCTGTTGTTACCCAGTCGAGCTGCAAGGTCTTGCATGGGAAGCTCAGCTCTCTAATAGATGTGAAAGCTGTGGCTTTGAGGGAGCTGCTCATTCAGGCAAGGCTGTAAATGAGCAATTATATATATTAATAAAAAAGAGAGGGAGAGAAGAGGCATTGCATTTTAGGGGTCCCTGGAGACCAGAAAACACAGAGCCTCCCCTGGTTCCTGAACTGTGTGGCTTGGGGAGAACTCTCCCAGCACTCCCAGAAGCTGAGCAGAGGTAACATCACACGTGTCCACCCTCTGCAGCACTCAGGGGGACAAGGTTGCAGATCCTGAAGGGCTCCCAGCAAACACTCTCCCTTATTCATGTGAAATATTTCACTCACAAATCCGTGTTTTCCAGCAAAATGCATAGAAAAACCCATATAACTTCCCCAGTATTGCACCAGTCTTCACCAGCTGCAGTTAACCCTCAATCCCAATGCAGGCATGGGATTAAATAACAAGAATTCTGAGGAATTTGGTTACCACACTCTTTAATTTGACAAAAGTAGAGCTTAAGGAAGCCACAAGTACTTGTGGGCTGCAAGGAAAATATCCATCCAAAGCAAACAGAGAATTGTGAGTCCCTTCCAGCTCAGGATGTTCTATGATTCTTTTTATTTTCAAGACTATCAAAACAGGCACTTCCAACATTTACAAAACATTTCATCCCTCATTTTGGAAATGTGACATTTGTTTCCAAAAGTCAAGGAAATCGAAGCAGGGCTTTCCAAAGGGTCAGGTGACACCTGTGGGAATCAACAGTTTTGTTTCAAAACCAGGGTGAAAAAAGCTCTGGTTTATTCCAAGTTTCAAGGGTTTTTGTTCCAAGTTCCAAGGGTTTTTGTTCCAAATTTCATCTGGGCTGGGTTGGAAGGGTTTTGTAGTTGAAATGAAAACGTTACTCCCCAAATAAATGCTGTGGCTGTGCCTGTGCTGTTGGGGAGGGAGAGCTCCTGCTTTCCCTGCTTAGGGAGGGTGCTATCCCGACTTACTTGAGAGGTCCCGTCCGACTCCAAGGGCCAGCCCGTCCTTGATCCAGAGCACGATGCCATTGTACTCGGGGATGGCACAGAGCAGGGTCACTGGCTGCCCAGCGATCACCACCTGGTCCTGGGGCTGCTGCGTGAATGACGACGCTTGGCCTGGCGAGGAGGCAGGAGAGAGGAAGAGGAGCTGTCAGTGCTCCAGTGGTTTGCAGCACAGGGCAGCTCCTTGGATGCAACAGCCCGGGATGCTCCTGGCACAGCACAAACCAGAGGCTGAGCTCTGCAGCTCTTAATTAGGTGATTGATTAATTGCGTGGTTGTTCCAGAGGATGGTTTGTGTGGGAAGAGACCTCAAAGCTTGTCTTATCCCAACCCCTGCCATGGGCAGGGACATCTTCCACTAGTCCAGATGGTTCCAAGCCACTTCCAGCCTGGCCTTGGACACTCCCAGGGATGGGGCAGCCACAGCTGCTCTGGGCAACCTGTGCCAGGGCCTGCCCACCCTCACTGTCAGGAATTCCTTCCCAATATTCCATCTCTCCCTGCTCTCTGGCAGTGGGAAGCCCTGTGTCCTGTCCCTCCATCCCTCATCCCCAGTCCCTCTCCAGCTCTCCTGGAGCCCCTTTAGGCCCTGGAAGGGGCTCTCAGGTCTCCCTGGAGTCCTTCTCTTCTCCAGGTGAACCCCCCCAGCTCTCCCAGCCTGGCTCCAGAGCAGAGGGGCTCCAGCCCTGGGAGCATCTCCACGGCCTCCTCTGGACTCTCTCCAACAGGTCCATATCCTACTTATGTTCCCAGAGCTGGACACAGCACTTATTTCCCCTGTCACACACTCAGACAACCATTTGCTATGTTTTTCCTCCCTTTGTAAAAAACAAATATCACAGCAAAGAGGCACCAGGCATTTCCTCAAAGTACTTTATCCCAAATTGTGGTGGTAGTGTTTTATCCACTGTGATCACAGGCAGAGGAGCAGCAGGATGTCCAGAAGCAGCAATATTTTTTATTACACATAATAAAAGAGCACGTTGGCCCTCTGCTTGTGATTTTTGCTCCCCCCTCATGTGCTCTCTGCTAAATCAGGGTGTGCAGGTCACGGCCGGCTGTAAAACAGGCAGGGAAACAGCCGAGTGCTGCTGTTCTCTCTCCTCCCAGAGCGTAACCTCCTGGTACTTGCTGGCAGCTTCACACACATCTGGAGAGCAAAGGAAGGACCAGCTCTGGTTCAGCACAGCCTTTTGACAAAGCTCCACCAAAGCTGCGAACCATCTGACCCTACCAAGCCAAGCCTGTCACCTCCCACCCCAGTGTTCCAAAAGTGCAGGTTAATCATCCGTCTCCACATCCGTCCCCGCCCTAAATGCTGCTGCAGCAATTCACAGCCCCCAGGTCATCTCCTGCCATGGTGAGATGTCTCCCACATCAGGTGTGGGATGAAACTTCTCCTTTTCCACAGGAAGCACTGGAGTCAGTGCAACTTCCTCCACAGCAGGGCTTGCTCAGCAAAATGTTTTATTTTCACCCTCCTAAATGCATCACAATCCCTTGGCTTTGCCATGATTGAAAATCGTTCACAGAATCAGAAAATCCCAGAATGGTTTGGGGTGGAAGAGACCTTAAAACTCATCTTGTTCCAACCCTCTGCCAGGGGCAGGGACACCTTCCACTGTCCCAGGTTGCTCCAACCTGGCCTTGGACACTTCCAGGGATTCAAAGTGTTAAATCCTGGTATTTTTTTTCTTTCCATAGTGAGTGCTCTGTTTTTAACCTCAAGTAAGGTGGGACTCTGGGATGCCCACACAGGACATCTCTGTGTGGTTCCACGGTGTCAGTTCACTCCCCTCTCTCAGACCTGATCTGAGCTTGTAAAGAAAACAGTGAAAGCAAGAAGAACAGCCCCGTCCCAGCTACACATCAGGGATATCTTAGATGATTGCCTTTGATACAAACCAGCACACAGAGAACAAGAATCATTAAAAATGGAAAAGATCTCCAAGATTATCAAGTCCAACCCTTGACTGAATCCCATGTGGAATCATAGAATCTCCTGAGTTGGAAGGGACACACAAAGGTCACCAAGTCCAACTCCTGGCCCTGCACAGGACAACCCCAAAATCCCACACTGTCCACAGTGTCACTGTCTGATGCTGGAAGGTGCTCAATGTGAAGCCATTTCAGGCAGAGCTGCCAATGTCTGGGCTCCTTGTGAGCACAGTTCTGTGTCTGAGCTGTTTGCAGAGCACCTCAATTGCTTTGCCACCACTTAAAGTGTAGCTCTGACTCTGGATACAAGAGAGATCTGAGAAAGAGAGGAGGTGGGAGAAAGGCAGGATGGCTGGATTGCTCCTTGCCGTGTTACCTGTGGGATTTCAATGACCAGGAGCCTCTCTGGGTGGGAATTATCCCCTGCACCAGGCAGGAATTCAGAGCCCTCACCCCTGTGCTGTCAGTACAACACACAGAACTGCACGGGGCTGAAGGGAAAGTTCTTCTTTAAAACCAATTTGTTAAAGCAGGACATGTGATCCACCCCAAATCAATTCAATCCTAATTTCCATTGACTCCGTTTAATCACCCACTGATGATTAATCTGAAACCAAGGGGAAGTGTGACACAAGTTCTCGCAACTCAGCTTGTTTCCAGATGAGCTGCTGGGCCTTTTGAGCAGGGCAGAGCTCCAGAGCTCCATCATTTTCCTCCTCCTGCTGTTGAACCACTGTGTGCCCCCACGTGAATGCTCATATTGCAATTTAATTCCCAGCCAGGGCAAGAGCAGAGCTGTCCTTTCCAAATTCCAACTGCTTTACACACAGCCAGTTCAGGAGTCTCGCTGAAATTTCTACAGATCTCCAGGTGCACCTTGAGCACCTTATTCCTGGGAATATCAGAGATCCCAGGTCTCTAAGGAACTTTGTTTTCCACCACAGATGCTCCAAGAGGCCACGGTGGTTCCAGAGGAGATTCCAACTCTTCCTGCTGGGAGAGACTCGTTGGTGGTCTCTGACCAGCACAAACCCTCGTACTGAATTAAAAGATTTAACTATTTGATTTCAAAGGGAATATGAATCAGTTCTGGATTCATAAATAGGATAACAGGGAAAAGTGCAACGAGAGACAAAACTCAGAAAGGAAGCAGAAAAAGCGAGCATTTTGCTTTGTTGCTTTGTTGTTTGTGTTTGGTTTGGTTTTTGTTTTTTTTTTTTTTTTTTTTAATATATATTTTCCACCCGCTAACTGGGTTTCCACAGCTCACTCTGTAATCCTGACAATTCCCAAGGCCAAGCCAGGCGGGCAGGGACAGCTCAGGAATGCAGCAATAACCCAAACAGATCGTTTTGTCAGCCAGAATTCTCTGGCTGGGAGCTGCACGAGCCCGAATGACAATGCAGAGGCACAAAGTGCTGTCCGTGCCCTCTGCAAATGCCCATTAAGCAGAGGCTTCATTTGGGAACTGCTGTTGGAAATTAAGCCCTTTTTAATCGGGTTTTTTTTCCCTTTCTTTTTTATTTCTTGATTTGTTTTAAAGATGAACTGATGGTCATGGAAAATCAGAGCAGAAACATGGCATATGTCTTCTGTCCTGTCCTTCCCTCTGTTTGTTCAGTGTGAAAAATTGTCACTTAAGCCCATTTTTTATTCATCCAAGGCTCCCTTTCAGCTACAAACAGCTCAGACTCAGCCACAGGAGAGGAGAGATGGGTGTGAGGACCTTAAGAGCATTACCTGGCCCAGTCCCTGCTCCACGGCAGGATCATCTCTCCCTAAATCACAGATAAAAAAAAAAAGAAAAAAGTACTGAAGGTAGAGCTCAACTCGCTTTCAAATCAGCTTAAAGTCTGATTACTGGGTTTAACTGGGTTTGGAAGATCAGAGGCCCGTCCACGTTACAGCTTATGTCTTAATGTCAAAGGAACAAGTAATTTGCAGAAAAGTTTTAAGGGAGATAAGATACTTGACAGAAAATAACTGAAAATGGGGGAGATTGGGAGAGGGTGATTTACAAATGCAGGTTGAGCGGTTTCAGCTACAAGAAAATGGGCTGAAAAACGTCAGTTGGGTATTTTTCCTGTGAATGTTTACAAGGTTATTACAAAATGGTGCTTTGGTTTCAAAGCAGGTGGTTTGACTCCAAACTTTTGGGCAGCCAGGAATTTCCCCTTCTCTCCCTTTCCAGAAAATAGGGTTTCAGCCAAAAAATCCTGTTCTGGTTAATCCAAATCCCCGCAGAGACTGGAGTTCATCACAGAATCCCAGAGTAGTGTGGATTGGAAAGGAGCTTAAACATCATCCAGTTCCACCTCCTGCCATGGGCAGGGACACCTTCCACCGGCCCAGGTTGCTCCAAGCCCCGTCCAAGGGCTTGCTCCAAGGCCTTGAACACTTCCAGGGATCCAGGGGCAACCACAGCTTCTCTGGGCAACCTGTGCCAGGACCTCCCCACCCTCACAGCCAGGAATTCCTTCCCAATATCCCATCTCTCCCTGTCCTCTGGCAGTGGGAAGCCATTCCCTGTGTCCTGCCCCTCCATCCTTTGTCCCCAGTCCCTCTCCAGCTCTCCTGGAGCCCCTTTAGGCCCTGCAAGGGGTTCTCAGGTCTCCCTGGAGCCTTCTCTTCTCCAGGTGAACCCCCTCAGCTCTCCCAGCCTGGCTCCAGAGCAGAGGGGCTCCAGTCCTGGAGCATCTCCGTGGCCTCCTCTGGAGTCACTCCAGCAGCTCCAGGTCCCTCCTGTGCCGAGGAGCCCCAACCTGCTCACAGCTGACCACATGAGCCCACCCAAGAGTCCAGTGAAGGCACCCACACCAGCCCTCAGCCATCTCCCACTTCCTCCTCACCTCCTGCTGCACGAAGGAACCCTGGATCTGGAGCTGGATCTGGGAAGCGCTCCCCCGACCTGCAGCAGCGGGGACATGCAGCAACATGAACAAGCCCACCGAAACACCAAGTGTAGTCCCCTTTTACTTCCACACCCCATTTTTCCTCAAGTGTGAAGACTGGAACATTTTCAAAGTGAACCAGCCAGGCTTCCTGGGAACCTGCTGCTCACCCAGCACAGAGCAGAAGCAAATATTGGGACTCTGAATTCACTGTTGATTTTTTGTTTTGTTTTAAAAGCAAATGGATATGTAAATGAGATGCTAACCAGGTCTCTTGGCCACGTT